CTGGTTCATAGACAACCATCTTCTTGTGTCCTCACATGGTAGAAAGGGTGAATGTTCTCTCTGGGTCACTTTCATAAGGACACTAGTCCCATTAATCATCTTTCAAAAGCCCCACTTTCTAATACTATCAATTGTGGGTAAGGATTTCAACAGATAAATTTTGAGGGAACACAAACATTCAGACCATAGCACAAATTAATGCAAAATAAAAGGTAGTCTGTTCTAAAGACTCTCCATGGATGCAGAGACAGATTTCTCAAAAAGCCCAGTGAACTTCAGATACCTGGGCCTTTGACACAGAGATTGTTCAGGCTCTTGAGTACCTTATCTTTTGTCCTCAAAGGAGGAAGTGAGTTCAGGATGAATCTAAGTGAGAACAGGAAACTAGCCTTTCACTCCCAAAGTTGAATATCAGCCATAGACTAAGAGTCTGATAATCTTTACAGGCTTTAGTCCCTGGTGTGAGCTACTCTACTTGCTGAGATAACACCCTAGTTGGACAGCATAACCTTCCTTTTATTTACATAGATTTTTATTTCTCATGGCAAAAACATTGGAATGAGCCAAATGAAAAAGCTTTGTAATAATCACGTAAAATAGGGGCTTTCTTCAGCTTCAGACAAAATCGGTTTATGGTTTAAAATATATAGTTTCCTGTTCTCTAATCTCTGTCTCACAAATGTTCTCTTTTCTTCTCTCACTTCCCTTCCCTTTTGATAAAATTTTCTTTCATTGTTTTCTTTTTTCCCTCTCTTTTCCATGTCACCTCATTTCTCCATTCTTTATTTTTCTAACCCTGTCTCATTTTCATACATTCATGGACATAGAAAATTTATTTCTTTGGATGATGTAATATTTGAATATTTTCAGAGTCAGAAGAAAAGTTAGGCTACAAATTTTGGTTAAATATATATTTTAAGGTCAATTAAATGTAATAATAATAATTTTAATTGTAACTTTATTTTTATGTTAATAAACCTTACAAATAATAAAAACAAACCATATCATGAGTATGTTTTTTTTTGAGGCTATTCCTCTTCAACCATTTGACATTGAATGCATCAACTAGAAGAAAGAAATTTCATGGTCCTCCCAAATAATGTATTTTAACAAATAATTACTATTATTCTCAATAAAATCATCATATTTCCCCAAAACCTTTCTTAAAAGTACAAATAATTGTTATGCATCCAAGGAATTCTAAATGATTACAGTTGGAAAGAATGATAGAAATCAATGCTTTCAGCCTTTTCCAAGATGCAAAAATCTTCTGTGGAACACAAATTTTACATATAATAACATTAAAGTGTTATTAATATTAAAGCAAAATATCAACAAATGGAAATCAATAATATCAAACACTATCGGCACTGTGTATTAAGTTCTGTACTCTGCATCCAATACTTTTAGAATTGTAGTCTGTTCTCTTGATTCTGTGGTGGATGATTTGGCAACAACAAAAATAATTTGTTAGTACTCACTAGGTTCCAAGAAGTATGTTAAAACTTTTCATCATTTAATAGCAACAATAAATCTGTGAGGAATTTCTCTTATTTTCCTGTTTTATTTGTATGGGAATCGAGGATCAAAGAGATTATGTAAATTTTCCAGGATCTTAAAGTAACTACTTCAATTCAGTCTTAAGGGCAAAGCCCACAATATTTACCCTAGACTAAATTAACCCGTGTGTGTGCCAAGAACTTAGTACAATTCCCAGCTGTGAGGACTTAACTCAATTTTACATAGTTCTTTACAACTTTTCCCTGTTAATTACAACATTAACATGATAAACATACAAACAAATGGAAACTTTAAGGATTAATTCATAAATTTTCATTTCAGTTTTCGGCATGTGAAGGTTTTTTGAACACTAACTAGAGGAATAGATTTTTTAAATGATATTTAAAGATTAATGAGCTAGTTTATGAATTTCCATGTCATCATTATCACTGTTTTTACAGTAGATGGTTATCTTGAAAAATTTCATAATACTTATGAGACTAAATAAAAACAAGTACTTATTTAAGTACTTTCTATTTTTTAGCATTGATATTTTCTATTAATACCTAAATACACAAACTAAAAGTGACACAAAAATTATGTAAATAATTACTGGGGAAAGTGAGGCAGAAATAATGATTGATTCTTGATATTTATAGAAAAACATTTAAAAATCTATTGTGAGTCTAAAGAGATTTATTATGATTATGTGTCAGCCTTCAATTATTAACCTGATTTAAAACACTGTCATTTCCAATGTGTGCATATCGCATGACTAATTTTGGCATAGACATATAGAAATATTTCTTTTAGCTCATGATTCCTTTAGTTTAGAATAATTTATTTCTAAGAGAATGAAGTCAAATATATATTGTGGTTCAGAAAGAAGAACACTATCTGTTTTGTCTTTATGACAGTATGATTACCCAAGGGGAAGATCTGTTTGTCCCATTAACCTTAGCTTTATGCTAGGCACAAAATGGGAGGAACACCAAGTAGAAGTGATTTATCTCTTATACTTGTTAATTGTCAAAAATGTATTTTAATAAGGTCAGCAATTCTATATGATAAATTTCATGTGGAAATATAACTGAGAAAAAAAATAGCTTATAAGTCAGAACATAAAGAAAAGCAGTATTCTTATCAATTACTTTGGGGTTTGAAGACAGAAAAATTTAGTTTTAAATTCTGTCTTCACCCTTTACTATGCTATGCCACTTTAGAAAGAACTATTTGACCCAGCTAACACTCTATGTATCTGTAAATTTCAAGAGTAACTTCTCCATAAGTTTGCTTAAGGATTAAATTAAATATGTATTTAAATTACTTAGCATGGAATGGGGCTGTCTTAGACTCTTTAGGCTGCTATAACAAAATATCATAGAATGGGTAATTTAAAAAAACAACAGAAATGTATTTCTTTTTTTTTTTTTGAGACAGAGTCTCACTTTGTTGCCCGGGCTAGAGTGCCATGGCGTCAGCCTAGCTCACAGCAACCTCAAACTCCTGGGCTCAAGCAATCCTTCTGCCTCAGC